CCCAACTCTTGGGCTACTCTTTTACCTAACGAATAGTGGGATTGACCGTCGACATTATAACGCCCCACGGCTGAAAGGGCGAGCATGTTAGACTGTATGTAAAAAATCACCGTTTCTTTATAGGGATAAATTTAGACCAATCATAGCATAGCATTACATTACAATTTTAACAAAACATTCCTAGTTTCTAAGGTACCTCAGAGCTGCCCTTCGTACTTTGTTTGAGCGTCGCATGATATTGTCTAATTCTAAAATCAAGATACGTTATTCTGTCCTGTTCTATATCTATATATTCAGTTGTTTCTATGTCACGTTACAAGTATCTGTGAAGAAGATGAAACGCCGGAAATAAAACCTAGGATACATGTAGTTATAAATAATGTTTCACTTTTATTTCATTACCTTCTTTCCAATAAGTAAAAACAAACTTCATATATCAAACAACAGGAATGGAATTTTTAGATATAACAAAATAAAAACAGCGCGGAATAGATCAATCTAGAAAGAAGAAAGACACTGATGATGATATGCCATAATAAGGGCTCAAAAGTCCTAAAATGAATCGGAAAAGCACTGAAGAAGTAATTTCTAAATCACTTAATAAGGTTTTACATAAATCGATTTAAAAGTAATACCATTTAAAAAAATTTGAGTAAACAGAGTTGAAAACACAATCTATAATCGAAAAACTTAAAGTAGTAGATACATCATCATATCAGCATATAAAGTAGCTAATAACTTTTCATTTCATTTGAAAACAACAACTTTATTTAAGAAACTAAACTTTTATTTAAAAACAATAAAACCTTCGAGTTTCAAGGTAAATAAACTCATAATAACAGACGGAAGTAGTATCATATTACAGGTTTATTACACTTTGATGTATGTTCCATAATATCTTACAATGAAGTACCTAAATTATTTTGGATTCACAAATTATATAAAACACCATACAAATACAGGTTAATTGCTGGTGTTAAAAAAGCTCCCTCTAAGAGTTTGTTAGTTGCAATTGTTACGTATTACAATATATTATTACGTATTACATGTATAATATTTGCCAACAAGACTGATACACACAAATATGTTTTAATACACAAACAATAATACAATTTACAATAACAGTTATTACAAATAATGATTATGTACAAAAGATTTACAAACAATATCGAATCTTCTTTCTGGTCTGGAACTTCCTTGATGTCTTATCGAGGGTTCATGATGAGCGAATAAATTTTGAGTTAATATAGATGCAATTCACTTAACAGGAAGCTAGCTAGCTCTCTGATCCTCACTGATCATATGCCGTTACAGGTCGAGTTTTTTTACCGTTGAAGTTATATAATGTCTTCGTGAAAGTACTAATGTCGGATGTGAATCCACTGAAGTTAAACGGTTTGTAATGTTCGAAATTTATAAATGTGCCTTGTCAAATATCTGAAGTTTCCCGATTAATAAGCGTTAATCACAGTATACCAATTGTAGCAAACCAATAATATGTATACTGTCTTTAGGCGCGTCGCGTCGTCTATATTTTTAGGCGTGAAGAAGTTTGGTTTGAATTTCGCGCAAAGCCGTCCCCAATTTAGCAGTGGGAAGGCAACTAGTCATCAACACCCACCACCACTCTTTTACCAACGAATAGTGGGATTGACCGTCACATTGTAACACCCCCAGAGCTGAAAGGGCGAGCATGTTTGATGTGACGGGGATTCGAACCCGCAGATTGCGAGTCGAGCGCCCTAACCACCTGGCCATGCCGGACCAGGCGTGAAGAGAGTTTCTCGAAATTTCAGCTTACGCAGTAATATAAACAATACACCAGTGTTTACATACACACACATATATTGTTGGTTCTTACACTCGAGTTTTCTATAATTTTAGAGAATAGAGAACAGTATAAGTTATGTACATTTCTAAATATAAATTTAACTTAAACAAACATCGATATTAAAATAGATGTATATAATATTAAATCCGTCACACAATAGACAATTGTCAAAAATACATTAAAGAGCATTAAAGGAAAAAATGAAACAAAACCAAAGAAAGAACCAGTATTAATCTGTTAATTCGATGTAAATAGAAAATTTAATTTTTTTGAGGCCAAAACAACAGAAACTTTCAATTTTAGTAATATTTATATTAGTATTATTATGGATCAAATTGAAAAACAAAAACAGAAACTCGAGCGCTTTCAAATAGTTGATTCTTCTTCTCTAGGACTAAAATAGTTGACTCTTCAAAAGCGCTAGAGTTTCTGTATCTTTTTATATCTACTTGTATATTTTAGTGTGATCCTTTGTGCTAATTCTTTCATCATGATTAAAAAGAGAGGATTATCAACAATTTGGAGATCTCTTAAGAATTCTAAGTGGAAAATTAACGCTTAGCGTTACTAAACAATGCTATTCACAAAAACTACTGTTACGTCTCTGGTCGTTTCTTAATTTACGGTATAAATTCTTCCTGAAGAACGTCAGCAATACAAGTCCTTTCTTAAATAAAACTAGGTTATTTTTTCTCAATACAACTTTGCAATACACTTAATTTCCACAGTCACTTTAACTTCAACACACGCCATAATTCACAACGAACGATTCATGCACTTACTTACTACCGCGCTTGACTCAATTATCCGTGTCTTTCTGTCTGCAATTCTATTCCGATTAATTGTTTCGCTTTATCTGGCGCACTTATATACAAGAATAGAGAGCGCCTAGCAAATACTGGATTATTCGTGATGTTCCCAGATCCTTCTAGAATCTCATGAAGGGTTACTAGAGTCACGTGACTTCCGCTGTCTTAACAGTATATTATAATATTTTCTAATGTTAATGTCATTAACATTATTAGTTATAATGTTTAATATATCTATTTTAGTATGTTTAATTTTTTTATTATCATTATATGTTTATTATAGAGATTATATTCCATTGGTATCTCAGTATATGGATTTGGGATTAACGAATCTCGTGGTGGAACCATGCTTTCAGCTATTTGTAAGTAAGAACAGTGTAATTAGCTATACACATTACTGGGTTTATTTCATTATGCAGGTAGTTTGCTTTGACCGGAAGATAATGTTAATTATCCACAGTTTAGTCAGTAAGTGTTGCTTTCGATAAATAAAATCTACGACTCAGTCAGCTTCAAAATATGTGTTTATGACCTACGTTGTCCTAGTGAGAGCGCAAAAGCAACAAATGTTTCTCGTAACTTTTTAGCTTATACTATTAACCTCGTGTAAAATCTCGTAAATAAGGAGAGTTTATTTCAGTTAGAAATAAATCTAAAGTTAAGCCGTTTTCAAGCTATATTATCAACGTATGCGCATAAATTTTTTAACTTTCTTTCTCACTGTTTTAAGGGTGGTGTGGCCAAATGGATCACAACAGAGTATTTACTAATTTCAAATATTTAATCTCACTGTTTTAATAGCCTGACTTGGAAGGACTGGTTTAAGTTTGTTGTTTCAACAAGTTAACTTTGCTTTTAAGTTAAGTCTGTTAGAATGTCAATTTTGATTGAAACCTATTACAAATATTTCTTTAAAAAGCAAAAGATAATAATATTCAAAGCAAATCTTCCTGAAAACTGGGGAATATGTAACAATTAACCACAAACAAAACAGCATAATCTTGAAAATCAGTGAAATACTACAAAATTTACTCTTTGTTGTGATGTTTATTAATATATGGTTCATAATGTTTACTTTTCAGATTTATCAATATGTCAAACAGTAGTAATGACTGCAGAGTTTACAGCTGTAATTAACCTTAACAAATAAAATAAACAAAATATATTATGCTTGGACCATCATCAACAAAAGTATGTAAGTTAAACGGCCTGTGAACTACTGAACATGTTAACAAATCACGGCTTACCTCTTTATAACAGTAATTATATATATGAAGCATTGCCAATAACGGACTAAGTCTTTAAATCAATCGAGTATATTGTCGAGATTCAGTGTGTTATCATGTCCAAGAATCAACTTAGCAGGTTCTTTTATGTGAGGACATTAGAAGATGGGAACTGAAACCAACCTTCGTGAACACAAAGCCTATGGT